CATATTTTTGTGAAAAGGATAGATTTATTATTTATAAAAAAACTAATTTTATTTAATCGATCCAATACAACCTGTTAGTAAAATTATTTTATATAATTGATGTTTAATTCACCTAATGAACATTATTGTCATTTAGTAATTCAAATTAGCATTGATTTCTTTCAACACGAGAAATTGATTCTAAATATTTTTTTTTTAAGTTATATCTAAACCATTTCCATTTTGAGTTTGAAAAATGTTTAATTGTTGTTTTTCTCTTAGGAAGTTGTCATAGCCGCTCAAACAAAATTTCTCGATGCTATGATGCTCTGGAACCAAGAAACGACATATTTTTTAAGTAAATTTTGATATTTTGATTTTCATATTCAATGTGTGGTTGAATGAAGAGGCTCAGTCAGCCCTCTTCTCTGGCGGTGTTCAGGTGCGGAGGAATTGCTGTATCGAGTGGGAGTTGTAGTCAGCGTTGATTTCAAGGGATTAGATCTTGATGTTGTGGATCTAAAACTAATCAGCTCGAGAAAAAATCGATATTAAGGAGAAGGAAGACCGTGGATCGCTTTTGTAGCTTCCTAACTTAGACTATGTGGCATATATTGTAATGTTGTTTGATGGGTGGTAATTTGCATCAAGAAAGGATCATGATGGTCGTCAGCGATTTTAGGCAATTCACGACGGTTTGACAGTGTTGATTGATGATTTTTCTCTTCCAGTTTTGCATGATAGTCACTATAAACTTCTAATTTAACAGGATCGAAAGACGGTTTTGATGCTGGTGGTCAGAACTTCGAATAAGAATTTGAGGATGAATCTCGCCGAAAAACAATCGTAGTTTCGTGTAATTAGTTTTCGATTTAATTGATTTTTTATCTATTTTAATTTTTATAAAATGCACTCATTCTTGGTTTCAAATAAATTAGTAGTGTATCAAAAGCAGCACTCTTTGTAATTAGTATTATTAATCAAAAACTATAAATTAAATAATATTAAATATAAGCATTTGTATTTTGAAGTAATATCAAAAGCCCGCGTCCAAGCGTAGATTTAAATGATTGAAAAAACTGATTAATCGATTTTAACATATATAATTTTTTTAATATTTAAATGTGTATGACAAAACATATAATTTCTAATATCGATAAGCGTAAAAAAATGATATGCACTGTGCATAAAATAAATCAAACATATGTAAATATTATTTATTTTAATATAAAATTATTTGTTATGTAAATATTTTTTAAATGTAACTCTCCACCTAATTGGATCACCAATTATGGTGGTATATTTTAATTAAAAGTTTGGTTGACTAAAAAAAATTTGATATTCATTATTCGTGTAGATTATATAACATACGATAAATAAATTTGTGAGAGATAACAAACGGAATACATATATATTTTTTTCCAATAATGAAATGTATAAATATTTGTAAGTGATTAAATATATATAGTAAAATACATATCATAATAAAAATATTTGTATAGTATACTAATTTAAATATATAAATACACAACATATAATTATTATAACAATATTAACAAAAACTTGTTAATATTTCAGAAAAATAGACGTTATGGTAAGTTTAAAATATTACATTTATTTGGGTTAAAAGTTTTAAAACATATATTAGTTAATTTATGTTAAAAAGTAATAAGAATATGTAGAGAATTCATATCATATAATATATTTTTAATTAAAATGTTTTGATTGATTCAATTAAATGATGTTTCCTTAAATTGCTTTTTAATTAATACCTAAGATTTTTTCTTCAGTGTTTTTTTAATTAATATATAGTGGATCATGTAACGGTTGAATCAACTTTAAAATAATTTTATGTCGACGAAAACGAGCCACATGAATCTATGACGCGTAAAAAGTGAGCTTCTAGAGAAACTCTAGAAGGAGTAGTGCAATTTTGTAACTTGTAAGCCTAAAGGCTCAAAAGTGAAAAAGACAAGAAACAAATTCCAAGAAAATAAAATAAATAGAAAAACGAACGGCGAGACATTATTGCCTAGGACTGGACGACATTGTCACGGCAAGAGATTGGCTACTCTTGGTTTTATATCTATTTATATTATTATCTTTCTAGAGCATTGGTTTTTCTAGAACACTTTGATTCCGTGTGAAACCGATATACAACACTTGTCCAAAATCTCAGTGATTCCCTTCTTTTTTAATCTTTTATTAAATAACGTACGCATGCATGATAGATATATCCCCAGAATTCGCCTCGACTCCGACGCCTTCCTTGAGCTGGTGCAATATCTTTGATTAAGTGAAAACACTCTTTTTTTTTTTTGAAAAAATACTCTTCTTTTTGCTAACCGTTAAGTGAAAACACTTTCTAATATTTTTATTCCTTGTTCGGAAAAAGATCAGCTAGTTTTTATAAGAAAACCAAATTTCGTGTTCAAATATTTTTTTTAAGAATTTTTTTTTTTTAAAGAATTTAAATATTGCATGGACCTTTCAATTGGAAGTTTAATAAAGTTCGGGATGTTTCTATAGGGTAAATCAATACGGATGACTAATTAGTTGCAACATTTTTAAATAAACAACATTTTGTGCATAATGATTTTCTTTTCTCTAAGTTTTTTTTTTACAATTAAATGGAAAAATTAAACATTAGAATTTCTAAATTTATTTGGTAGTCAGAGTATCAACTTTAAATATGGACTGAATAAAAGTAGAATATGAGTAAGTTTTGCAAATAGAAGGGCCATCTAGTTCAAAACATAACAAGAAACAACGGTAGACATTTTTATGTGGCCATGAGTTACTTTCGATGGCTTCATCAAATCTTTGAAGATGAGAGAGTTATTCTCTCTGTAAAATTTTGTTTAGACAATTTCCAATGTATTTTTTTATTTTTCTATTCTAAAATAAAATGATATTAAAATAGGAGTGAGTTTCTTTCCAATGTATTTTTATTTTATTTTAGACTTAAAATTGTTTTAAGGTAAAAGAATAACATTTCTCTATTTTTCTCTAAATATAGTGAAAAAATATCAGTTTTCTTTTACAGAGTTGAAAAACAGGTGGTATAAAGTATAAAATAAAAGTAAGTTGGAGATACAAGTTCTAATTTTTTTTATATATAGGTTCCATGACTATGATATGATTCTAGGTTGCAAGACTTGATCTTTGTGTTAATATGTAACAGATGGCAAAAATAAAGACTAAAATGTATATAGACAACGAAAACACAGTTATGTATTTCCAATAAAATAAACTAACCATACTACACACATAAAATACATTTATAACTAAGTTCAAAAACTGAAAATAATTAGTTGAACTTAATTTGTACAAGATAAAGTATATAATAAGTTGATTATTTATATACTTTTTTAATATATATAAGTGTGACTCTATTCAGTTCATATACAAATATTTTAGGCCAAAATCAATAAATTCTAACTTAATTATATGATTTGTGGGTGTAAAACACCTATAGATGTTTACTCTACATGTAAAATTTAATTTAACAAGTGTTGGGGTCGGATTTCACCCACTCAACATTGAAGTCCAAAATTATGCAAACACAGCGTATAGACTCGGGAACGCATTAACGTACAGATATTATATGACTCTCCCGGGTTACTTCTTGACGAGAAGGTGAAGTTTCTTCGCCTTTCCTAAGTCTTCTCCGTCCAAGAAGAGAGCCTTCTGAGTCCTCGTTACTCGCAGCAGAAGTCAGGAGCACAATGCAAGCGATGTCAGCGCTGCCAGAGATGTCGACAGTGCCAGAGATGTCTCACTGCCAGCATTGTCTCTGCCAGAGATGTCAACACTGCCAGAGATGTCTCACTGCCAGCGATGTCTCTGCCAGCGATGTCTCTGCCAGAGATGTCAACACCGCCAGAGATGTCTCACTGCCAGCGATGTCACAGTGCAAGCGACGTCACACTGCCAGCGATAACCCGCCAGAGTAACGACCAAGGCCAGAAGGTTCCCCGCGCTAAGGCCCAGACCAATTGCGAAACCCACTTCGACGGCACCGACGTAAAAAAAAAGAATCCGCGAAGACTTAGGAGAATTAGCATTATCTTTTATGGAAAGACTTAGCCGACTTAGGAAACTATATATATCGATGTACAAACCCTTGTAAAGGGATCCGTAATTTTGTTCACAAAAGCATACACAGCAAGAACAAACGTTTCTTTTTGCTCATTGTTTATTTCGTAGCTTAATCTAGAAATCTCTGTTTCCTCACGAAACTCTTACAAATATAATTGTGATAGTCTTGGCTCCCATAATTTGGCGCCGTCTAAGGGGAGTTAGAGAATTTCTCACACAAAGAAACTACGTGACACCATAGATCTGAGATCTAGAAAGATGAGGGACGAAGAGAACAAACCAAGTAGCAGCGCCGAGGAGTCCTCGTCTCATAGAAACAACAGAGAGGAGGAGAACTCCGTCGAAGCCCCTGCTAACAACGACGCTGCTAACCCTAGAGACATGACCGAGGTCAAACAGATGCTGCAAACGCTCCTGTAAGAGTCCAACAAGCAGACGAAGTTCAACGAGGCAACTACGAACGAGCTGAAGGCTCTTTCGCGAAGAAAGCGCAAAAGACCTGACACGACAGGGCTCAGGGATCGCTTCGATCCGCGTCGCCTCAACTTCTCAACACAGCGTACTGCTCGAAGGGATCCGGGCGACTTGCACCGCCACCACGGCGGGAATCTGAGAGAATTCCTGAATGATACGTGGAGGTTTCAGACGAGGATCAACCAGTTCTACGAAGACGTGCGCGAGTGGTAACCTACAAGAAGCGCGCGCGTCAGACAGTCAAAGCGCGTCGTCGTATTTCCTGACGGAAGCTCTGCAAGACACATCGGAATACGGTGACTACCCCAGCACCAACGATGAAGGCGCGCCTTCCATAGCAGAGTAATACAAGAGAGAGCAGAAGCGTAGGGCGCTAAAACGGTCTCGAGATGCGGAGATCGCTGCGATAAAAGCTCAGACGGAGCGGGTCTACTCTGACCTAAAGACTACCCAATCGCAGATGCACCGTAGCTCGGGAAAGGCTCCTGGGATCGCCTATGTGCTGGAGAAGGCATGGAACACGCCCTTCGCCGAGCGGATCACGAGGATTAGAATCTTTGATGCCAGAAGAATCAAGTTACCAAACTACGAAGGAATCACAGACCCTTCGGACCATTTGATGGAGTTAGAGGTGGCTCTAGGGAGGGCAAACTTTAAAGAAGCCCAGAAAGACATCGGCTACTGCAAGCTGTTTGTCTCTGGACGAGTTCAGTTGTCCTCCTCCGTCTAAGGGGGGATGTGCTTTA